CCACCAGTGGAGGGAGCTGGTGTGATGGACCCAATCTGAGTTGTTGCTGAAAGGGTGGTGTCAAGAATTGTTGTAGCTGATGTGTCTCCTTGGGTAGGTGTGGACACAGGTGTGACGACACCACTAGTTATTGTAGGCGAACTTGTATCAGAAGATGTGGTCTGAGCTGTGACAGTGTAAGGAAGCGTTGTAGCAGAAGTGCCTCCTTCTGGAGACGTTGACTGAGAGCTGGTGGCACCATCAGTGGAGGGAACTGGTGTGATCGTCTCAGTGTGAGTAGTTGCTGAATGGGTGGTGTCAAGAGTTGCTGTAGCTGACGTGTCATCTGGAGTAGCAGTTGATGCAGGTGTGACGACACCACTGGTTGTTGTCAAAGGTGAGCTTGTATCAGGAGAGGTGTTCTGAGGTGTCTCAGTGTCAGGAATCGCTGTAGCAGAAGTGCCTCCTTTTGTAGACGTTGATTCAGGTACAGCGGGGTCACCAGTAGAGGTATTGGGTGAGATGACCTCCGTTAAGGTGATCTTGTTCGTAAGACTTGTTGACAATAAGCCTGTATCTGGGGGAACAGGATCAGGTAGAATAATGTCATTTGAAGTTCTTGGGATGTTTTTAAAATATACATAATCTACATTTAATTATGTTGTTTTTAGAGTTTCTTAAATCAATGGGAAATTTTAGTCAACAGATAATTGAAGCCTTTAAAGAAGAAATACTGAAACCCAAAGCAAACCCATTGTGATTGAGTCTGTTCTGACTCCTCGCGACCCCATAGGGCAGAGTAGAACTGCTACTATGGATTTCCAAGACTGCAAGTCTTTCCAGGAGTAAAGCCTCACTTTTCTCCCATGGAGTGACTAGTGGCTTTGAACCGCCAACCTTGCGGGCAGCCGCCCAACATGTAATCTACTACGCTACCAAGGCTCCTTCCAAGAGGGAGTCGAATACGCTGATTTAAAAATGCATCTTATTTGTTGTTGGTGAGCATATTCACAGCAGCACAGCACAGCGCAGCACACTACAGACACTAATTCAACGACTTCCACCCGCGCCATCCGTGAAAGCCATTGTGTTCCTTCAGTTGTGCAAATGTTCTCACCCTCTTTTTCTG